ATTGCGATTTTACAAAACGATTTTTGTAAAAATATATTTGTATACTTGTTATCTGACGTTTTAATACCATTATAATTTAATGATTTTATAAATAAAACATATTCATAAAATTTTTAATAATTAAAAATTTTATGAATATGTTTTTATATTTACGGCAATGTAAAGCGGTTCTTGATGATTGCAATGACACATGTAGCGCATACGATTTCTTTATCCGCGTCTTTACAAGGCAATATGAAAAGGCTTTTCTTAAAGTTCAGAAAACTATAAAATCCAAAAGTGTGCATAGCCCGTGGATGACTAAAGGTCTTTTAAGATCATCAAAAAAAAAAAAAAAGCTTTACGAAAAATATTTAAAAAACAAAAACTATGAAAACGAAACTAAATATAAAAAATACAAAAACTATTTTGAAAAAATAAAAAAGCATTAAAAAAAAAACTTCTATTCTGGACTACTTCAGAAATCATTTGGAAACGCTAAAAAACTTGGACTATAATAAAAGAAATAACAGGGAAAACAAAAGTTACATCTAGCAACTTCCCTAATCGACTGAAAACTGATAAAGGTGAAATTTTTAATAAAAAAACAATTGCTGAGAGGCTGAATAATTTTTTTATAAATGTTGGGGAAAACTTAGCCAAAGAAATCTCTCCCAGTAGCAAAACATTCCAGTCTTTTTTGAAAAAATCAGATTTTATTATGGACAATTCGAAACTTTCCACTGAAGAACTTCGTTCAGCTTTTGACATGCTTCAGAAAAATAAAAGTGCAGGTCTTGATGAAATTAATACAAATGTTTTGAAAAGTGTCTTTGATATTATCGAATTGCCTCTTTTCATTATTTTTAAACTTTCATTAAAAAACGGGGACTTTCCTGATCAATTAAAACTTGCTAAAATAATTCCAATTTATAAAAACGGTGACGATTCTTTAGAATCAAACTACAGACCCATCTCAATTCTTTCCTGTTTTTCAAAGGTACTTGAACGTATAATGTATAATAGAATATATAACTTCATCGATAAAAACAATATTTTATATCCTAAACAGTTTGGATTTCGGAGAAATCATTGCACTGAGCATGCTGTGATGGATTTGGCTAGCAATATTTTGAAAGGATTTGATGGTAATAATTATACACTTGGAGTTTTTGTTGATTTGTCGAAGGCGTTCGACACTGTCGACCACGAAATCCTTCTCTATAAATTAAAAAATTATGGAATTCAAAATACTAATATAAAATGGCTCGAGTCTTATTTACAAAATCGTAAACAATGTGTGACGTATGATTTAACTTGTACGCAGTTAGAAGTTATTAGTTGTGGTGTCCCTCAGGGCTCAATACTTGGTCCTCTGTTGTTTCTCTTATATATTAATGACATCCATTTATCCTCTAAATTCCTTAATTTTGTTCTTTTTGCTGATGTTACTAATATTTTCTTTTCGGGGTCTAATTTAAAATTTGTTTTTTCTACTGTAAACACAGAGCTAATTAATCTCAATGAATGGTTTAAAGCCAATAAACTGTCCGTAAACATTGATAAAACTAAATACATTCTGTTCACAAAACCTTCGAAAACTGATAACATACCCCTGAAACTTCCTGATTTATTTATAAACAACATTAAAGTAAAAAGAGTTCATTCAATGAAAATCCTAGGTATAATATTTGACGATCATTTAAACTGGAAAAATCATATCCAATTTGTGGAAAACAACGTTTCAAAAGCTCTTGGAATCCTTTTCAAAACGAAGCACCTTTTGAATATAATGTGCTTAAAAAGCTTGTATTTTTCATTTATTCATAGTCACATTAATTATTGCAATATAGCGTGGGCAAGTAATTATTCATCTTCTTTAAAAAAAATTAATACCAAACAAAAACAAGCGAGCCGGTTAATTTTGAATGCAGGTAGATATGCATGCGCCGAGCCTTTACTTAAAAAAATTAATGTTTTAAATATTTATAAACAAAACATCTATCAAAATCTGTTATTTATGTTTAAAATTTATAACAACATGCTTCCAACATATTTTCAGCCTCATTTCACCTTAATTAATCACAAATACTCTACAAGATATTCCATTAGCAATTTTCTCATACCTACAACATCCCTTAGAAAAACAGACTTCTCAATAACATGTCGAGGACCACGTTTGTGGAACTTTTTCCTGAATAGAGACATGAAAAACATGACTTCAATTAAACTATTTAAAAGAGCCGTTAAACTATACTTATTAGATTTAAATAATAAAAACATTCTTTTGTATTTTTAAAAAAACATTTATATATTGATTTGTTAACACGTATATATGCTTGTGGCCTATGTATATTTTGTGAACTGTGATGTGTTGTATTATGTACAAAACTTGCAATATTTATAAAACTTATACAACGTATATTTTAAGAAGTTAATACGTAAAACTTTATTGATATTTTCACGAACTTAGGAGCAGGGTGATAAGACACATTGTCTTCTGCTTGCTCCTGTCAGAATATAAATATCTAATTTTTAATTTTTACAAAAAACATTGTAAAATGATTGTTTATTGACGAAATATATATATAATAAATAAAAAAAAAAAAATGATAAGATCATTTGGTCTTGTGCAAGTTTTCCGCGTTTTTTTTACAGTGTTAGAGTGAATTTATTATTTTTGTAAAACCACTTTGTAATACTTTGTTTTTATTTATATATTCACTGTTAACGAATCTTTATTATGTGGTTACGAATTTGTAATATTAAGGAACAAAAAATAAACTTAAAATAAAAAATAAAATAAAATAATATATTTCAGGTGTTTTGAACTGACCCATTAAAATAAACGTTTATCAATAAAATCGAGACAAAGTTGTAGGGGCAAAATAAAATGAAGTTTAAAACACCGTTTAAATAACTGTAGTTTTTATTAAAATAAAATTTATCTTTTTTAATTTTCAATATTTTTGAATATTTGGTGGTGTACGACCTTACGTATTTTATTTTAATTATTTTTATTTTAGTTAATTCAACTATTTAAAATAATAAAAAAAAAAATTATAAACTGCGTTTTACTCAAAATTTTCGACTATTCACGACTTAATTTAAATTCATTAATGAATTTTAAAATTCATACAATAATCTCTTAACATTTAAAAACTATGACTTCATACAATTTGTGACCCCCTCTAACTGAATTATTTTTATATGGTCATAATTCTGAACGCTGAGAGATTATGCTACGAAATTTAAAACTTACAAATAAAAAAATGTATATATATATATATATATATATATATATATATATATATATATATATATATATATATATATATATATATATATATTTATATATATATATATATATATATATATATATATATATAAAATATATATATATATATATATATATATATATATATATATATATATATATATATATATATATATATATATATATATATATATATATATATATATATATATATATATATATATATATATAAATGTATATATATATATAAATATATATATATATATATATATATATATTTATATATATATATATATATATATATAAATATATACATATATATATATATATATATATATATATATACATATATATATATATATATATATATATATATATATACATATATATATTTATATATATATATATATATATATATATATATATATATATATATATATATATATATATATATATATATATATATATATATATATATATATATATATATATATATTTGGAGTTTGCTGCATACTTGAAATTCATTATTTTAAATACCAAAAATGCTAGATTGGTCCTTGGATAATAGTAATGTACAAATTTATAATTTGAATGTATTGCCTTCATGTTTTAACTTTACTGACTCAAACAATAAATAATTTATATGTTTTTATGCCAATTTAATTCTTAACTAATTTATCGAGAAAAAAAAGAATCGGTTGTAGTTTTACAATTTTTTTTGTTGCTAGATTTTCGTCTAATTGGAAGTAGTCTTTTTATTTCAGCAAAGAGGTTGAAAAAAAGCTAGGTCGTGGAACGTCACCATTTTAAATTTAGGTTATACTTCTGGGTGCACCTAGTAGGTGCTACTTCGACGCACCTAATAGGCGCTACCTCGGCAAACATAGTAGTTGCTTCTTAGGCACACTTTGTAGGTGCTACTTCGGTGCACCGAAGTAGGTGTTAAAACTTATCTCAGTATTAAAACTTTAGTATTATAAACTATTAGTATTTTACTCTAATTAAATAATTCTGTTTTGATTAAATGTTTTTAAAATAATTTTTTATTCATTTTTTTACTTTTTTTCTATTTCCAATAAGTTTTTAAGCATTGTATTTTTTTAAGTATCTTGTTGTTGGTTTGTCTGGTTGTGTTGAATATTTTAGGTGTTGTTTATTACATATATTCACCTTACCAAAACACATCAGGTTAACTGATTCTAAAAATTAAGTTTTGATTGGAAACCTATTCAGGTTTTTTTTTTTTTTCGCTTTAAACCGATTGTCTAACAAAACTATAAACAGTTTGTTAAATTATTTGATTATGGCAGGGTGAATGCAATTATCTGTTGTTTAAAATCTGGGAAAACTCCATGATCATACCATTATTGGTTCACACGCTGTTCATCGCAGTACGTTGTATGTATTCATTGCCCAACGACATAAAATCATAACTAAAATTATTTTTTTCTCTAATTATGAAATTCTTTATTATCTTCTCAGTGGGCACCGGACCTAAAAAAGACGTCTTTTGAAGGTTTAAAAGACGTTCAAAAGACGTCCATAACGTATATAAGACGTATAAAAGACGTCTTTTTTACGTCCGTGCCCACTGGGTTTTAATGATAAAACATGAATGCATTATTAAAACTGCGGCGTTATTAGTATATTAATATTTTTAATTAGATTATCTCCCTACCTTTACTTAACTTTACTTAATCTCACTAAAATCATCACTAGTTTAACTAATTTTAAAGTCGCACAGTTAATTTTTATAGTTCTCAATTTATTTAAATTCTTCTATAAAGTAGGAATATAAGTTTCAGTTTTATTTCCAGACTTAGTCACAAATTTAGTGTTAATTTTAGCGTGGCATTTGTGATTGGTTAATACTTGCTGAAGATCACTCATTTCTTTCTGCAGTTCGCTGATCTCGTTTTCTAAACTGCTTCCGTCACATTCAAGACGCTGACATATCTAAAAAACATCAAATATAATAAAATATAAACTCTACTAGACTTCATTGAAAGATTATGTGGTTAAATAAAATTTTTTCTTCAAATATGCTTTTGCGTTTGTTTTTAATTTTATATAACAAACAAAAATAAAGTTTGTTAAATAATTTTATTTATTATTGTTATAACTCAACATAAATTTATTTCAAAATGAAAAATTTATGTATATAAGAGTTTATCTGCATTATAAAGTTTAACTTTTGAAAAATGCTTGAAAAACTCAATCCAACCTTTTCAAGTTTTTCAATTCTGTCTCTCCTTCTTTGTCGACATCTTTGAGCAGCAAGCCGATTTCGTTCTCTTCGTGCAACAAGTGTTTCTTCGTCTTCTAATGAGTTTTTCTAGCAAAAAAAACATATTTTTAGGGAGTTTTTGCGTCATCTAATCTTTATTTTTTTCAAATTAAGTTTATATTGTTTACGTTTGTTTGTCAGAACCAACGGGTGTCGAATTAGAGGGAAGATGGGAAAGAGAGGTAAAACTCCTAAACATAGTCTATAGCCCTTAACATTTTAAAAATTCTTAATAAAAAAAAAAAAATGTCCTTTCAAAAAAGAAGTGGGGAGAGGTGGGTGAGGTGGCACGTGCAAACTCCCTCTCTCGCGGCGTCAGCCATGTTTATAAATGGTTCTAATTTTTTTTATTTCAAAATAAAAGCACACATAATAGAAATAAAATTTTGATTTATTTCTTTTATTTCATTCTAAAATCTGTAGAATTTATTATATATTGACTTGATATCAACCTAACAAATATATTGACTTGATATCAACCTAACAAAATATTGACTTGATATCAACCTAACAAATATATTGACTTGATATCAACCTAACAAATATATTGACTTGATATCAACCTAACAAATATATTGACTTGATATCAACCTAACAAATATATTGACTTGATATCAACCTAACAAATATATTGACTTGATATCAACCTAACAAATATATTGACTTGATATCAACCTAACAAATATATTGACTTGATATCAACCTAACAAATATATTGACTTGATATCAACCTAACAAATATATTGACTTGATATCAACCTAACAAATATATTGACTTGATATCAACCTAACAAATATATTGACTTGATATCAACCTAACAAATATATTGACTTGATATCAACCTAACAAATATATTGACTTGATATCAACCTAACAAATATATTGACTTGATATCAACCTAACAAATATATTGACTTGATATCAACCTAACAAATATATTGACTTGATATCAACCTAACAAATATATTGACTTGATATCAACCTAACAAATATATTGACTTGATATCAACCTAACAAATATATTGACTTGATATCAACCTAACAAATATATTGACTTGATATCAACCTAACAAATATATTGACTTGATATCAACCTAACAAATATATTGACTTGATATCAACCTAACAAATATATTGACTTGATATCAACCTAACAAATATATTGACTTGATATCAACCTAACAAATATATTGACTTGATATCAACCTAACAAATATATCGACTTGATATCAACCTAACAAATATATTGACTTGATATCAACCTAACAAATATATTGACTTGATATCAACCTAACAAATATATTGACTTGATATCAACCTAACAAATATATTGACTTGATATCAACCTAACAAATATATTGACTTGATATCAACCTGACAAATTTTAAGTTATTTGAGTCTGTTAATTATAAAAAAGAGTTAGAAATACAAAGTTTTGCACAGTGGGACAAAACCGTGTTTGTTGTGCCAAAATTATTTTTTTACTTTTTTTATTAGAACTGTTAAATACAATTAAATTAAATACAAAAACCATATAAAAAGAATATTAGGCTCATGTTTAATGCTAAAAACTTAAAAATCTAAACTTTTTTTCCTGATGAACATAAATTACGCAACGCAAAATATACTTTAAAAACAGAGGAAGGAAATTCTAGGCTCTTTTGCGCGGCGCATTTTATTAAACTTAAATGCGCTACTTGATTTTTTATATAGGGTAGATTTGAGTAATATGAGCACCTTGGTAATATGAGCATACTTAAAGATTTTTTAGATGTAAGCAGTGAAGTTAAAGTTGCTTTGTATTTTTTGAATCGATTTTATGTGGTGATAACAGAAATCAGTACAATTAGCGTAAATATATATGCAGTAGTTAGCGGCTATCATCTAATTAAAACGCTGTTAAATCTTTTACATTGTTAAAATAATATCATCACGCATGAATAAATCTGTGGCGCGAAATTTTGGTGCTAAAATAATGAAATTGATTTTTTCATAAAGAAAAATATGTTAGCTAAAAATCCGATCCATTTTCCAGAAAATATTCCAGAAGAGGAACAAGAGGGTTAACAAAATGATGAGCATTTTTTATTAAAATCATTTAAAGTAAAATGAATAGAGATAAACACAAATCTCCAAAATTTTAATATCTCCTGTAAAATTTCATTTAAAGTCATAAAATATTACACTACCAGAAGAAAAGCGAAAAGTTGTATTGACGTAAATGTAAATAAAATAACTACAAAAATTCACCTAATTGTTCCATCAAAAAAATTAAAGGTCATCGCATTGTTCCTGTAAAAAAGTTGATAGCCACCGCATTGCTCCTTCAAAAAAATTGAAATTCACCGCATTGTTCTTTCAAAATTGTGTTATTAAACAAATAGCATAAAAAAGAAGGTTGAAGACTTTGATGAAACTTTAAACAATACGATAAAAAGAAAATTTTCTGTTCCAGCGAAAGGATTATTGTTTAACTTCTCACAATGGTACAACCAGGTTTGTCAGTATTTTTATCCATAATTCTTTAAATTTTAAACCGCTAACCGAGTTTAGTGTAATTAGTAATGATTGTGAATCTTTAACGATCGAAATTTTAAATAAAGTCACAAAAAACGTCGTTATACATGTCGCGTACAGACCGCCATCTGGCAATAATAAATTTTTTGAAAAACACTTTAAAAAATTAATTAAAAGCAAAGTTTTATGTGACAAACGTGTCTTCTTTGTGGGAGATTTTAATTATAATGTGCTTGATTACGACACAAATAAAAATGTTAAAAATTTTATGAACATCATATTTAAAAATGGATTTATTCCAACTATAAATAAACCAACACGAATTACTAGAAATAGCGCAACTTCAATCGATCAAATAATAATTAATGAATATACAAAAAACAAAATAAAAACTGGAATAATAATATCCGATATATCGGATCATTTCCCAATATTTATAATTGCACATAAAAGTGTCGAACACACCCCTCACAAAAAAATATTAATTACAAATCGAGTATATAATGACATTTCTATGGAACTTTTTAATAATTCTTTATTTTCTGAAAACTGGGACGATATTTTACAAATTCAAACTGCAGAGACTGCTTATAACAGTTTTCTTCGGATATTCAAAGATCATTATGATAAAGCTTTCCTGGTGGTAACAAAAATTATTAAAACTAAAATATTTATAAACCCCTGGATTACACCAGGAATAATAAAATCGTCTAAAAAAAAACAACGTTTGTATGAAGTATTTCTGAAAAAAAGAACCTATGTAAATGAACTAAGGTATAAAAAATATAAAAGTCACTTTGAATCAATTATAAAACTTTCAAAAAAGTTATACTACTCAAATAAAATAATAAAATTCAAAGGTGATACTCAAAAAACGTGGCAAGTCATTAAGGAAGTAATTGGAAAAAAAATAACTATGTTAAATGGTCTTCCAAAAAAGCTCAATTACAATCATCAAGATATTACAAAAGAATCTCTAATTGCTAAAACGTTTAATGACGTATTTGTCAACGCAGGTCTAAATTTAGCATCCAAACTAAAACACAGTGATTTTAACAAGGAGAAATACTTGACTCCTAGCAAATCAATAATGGAAAATGCGGAGTTAACCGAAAAAGAGTTATTAGATGCTGTTCTTTCATTAAAATTAAACAAATCACAAGGAGTTGATAACATTAGCAGTAATGTCATAATTAAATGTATCTTCTATATTAAAAAAATCCTTTTGCATATATTTAATCTTTCGTTTAAACAAGGAATCTTTCCAAAAAAACTTAAAATTGCAAGGGTAATACCAGTTTTTAAATCTGGAGATAATACTAATATTTCTAATTATAGACCTATTTCCATTCTTCCTTGCTTCTCAAAAATACTAGAACGCATTATGTATAACAAATTATATTCATATTTAGAAAAAAATAATATTCTATATAACAAACAATTTGGCTTCAAAACAGGACACTCTACTGATCATGCAATTCTTCATCTTGTTCAGATTATTTTTCAAGCTTTTGATAAAAACAAGTTCACTTTAGGTGTTTTCATAGATCTAAGTAAGGCGTTCGACACAATTGATCATAGTATTTTAATTAAAAAATTAGAGAACTACGGTATCAAAAATATTAACATAGCTTGGTTTAAAAGCTACTTATCTAATAGAAAACAGTATATTTCATTCGGCAATAAAAAAACTAACAATATGACAATTACTTGCGGCGTTCCTCAAGGATCTATATTAGGACCACTCTTATTTTTAATTTATATTAATGATTTAAGCAAAGCCTCTAATATTCTAGATTCTATCTTATTTGCTGATGACACAAATTTATTTTATTCTCATAGTGATATAACAGCATTATTTAAAACGGTCAACATTGAACTCCTAAAACTAACCGAATGGTTAAATATGAACAAACTTTCAATTAATTTAACTAAAACTAAATATACTATTTTTCATCGCCTCCATAAAAAAGAAAAAATTCCTCTTGAACTTCCAAAACTTATTATTGGAGATTACATCGTAAAAAGAGAATGTTCGATGAAATTTTTAGGTGTAATTCTAGATGAAAACATAAATTGGAAAGACCACATAAACATGATTGAAAATAAAATTTCTAAAAATATTGGATTACTCTATAAAGCAAAACCATTCTTAGATCAATCCTGCTTGAAATACATATATTACTCATTTATACATTCTTATCTTAATTATGCAAACATTGCTTGGTGTAGCACCAATAAAACAAAGATAAAAAAGCTATTTAGCAAACAAAAACATGCAATTAGATTATTATCAAATGCACACCGCCTCTCACATTCAAGACCATTGTTTAACAATCTAAAAATACTAAATGTGTACCAAATAAATATATATCATCTTCTGATTTTTATGTATAAAATTAATAACAATTCAATACCAAATATCTTCAAACCATTATTTAATAAAATTCAACACAAATACGTAACTAAATTTTCTAACAACAACTTTGTTCAACCCAAAACTATATACGACTCCACCAAGTTTTCAATA